GCAATGATGGTGCCAACTTGGGCCAGTGAAGCAACATCCTCCACAAGATTGAAGAACAAAACGACAGCAACTTGTCTGTTCCCCTTCCCCCAATTCCCCAGCACTGTTCCATCCCCCCAATTCCCCAATTAAAAATAAATAAATAAATAAATAAATAAATAAAATAAAATAAAAATACTAAAAACATAAAAGCTCCCAATAAAATGCAATAATAATTATCTGGGTAAAAAAAACCCTCCAGACCAGAGTATATGTGTGGATGTTAAATAGTTAATTTTGCACAGCAGAAAATCAAATATTACTTTCAGTGGCGACTTTAATAAAATTAGAAATATATGAAAGAGAAAGTTTTTTTAAAAAACCTCTAGGTGACCACAAACAGAATTATAAAGACAATATAAACCTTCTAAAGAACAGTAGAGGATGAACAAAGAATAGTCCACGTAGTAAGAAAACAACTGTTAAGGCAGCAAAACAAAATGTCAAATTCAATTAATATGATCAAATACACTGGTCATGATAAATGGATTTAAATACCCCTATCTAAAAGATTATCTCAATCAGGGTAAAAATACAAATTCAAAAAATTAAATAAATATACATGTTAGCTAAAAAAATTTAAAAAATGGTGACAAAAATAAAAACTAAAAGAGTAGACAAATATATACATCAGGTATACATAAATGAAAAAAAATGGCAGCTAGCCATGACAATTTCAGAATTAAGAGCAAATGCATTAAATGGATCAAAGCAGGTTTAAAAGTGTGTGGTAATTCACAATCAAACTTTACCACTCATAAAATGATATATTCCTAAGAAATAGCATTTTTTCTTAAACAAAATAAAACACTGGCAGAAACATAATTGTGGGAAACTAACAAATCTCATTCTTAAATAATCTATTTTACAATAAAATATTGTCGGTGCTTTCCACTCAATTAGGTTGTAAACATAACACTACTCTAAAAAAACTTTAATAATTAAAAAAAGAATGATATGATACTTGAACAATATACTTTGAAAGGCTTAACAAATATATATCCAACTTTATATCCTAAGAATGAAGACTACTGCCTAACATTCCTATAACATTGAAAATAAGCATGATAAAAAATACAGATCTTGACTTATAAATTCTCTCAATGTTTTAGCAAATTCCAATTCTCATACTCTTGCTGAATACTTACCATTTCTATCACCATAAAATCCTGGGATGAGAAGTCAGATTATATATTTGAACCAATCAGAAATGGCTCATGTCACCTATGACTATTGTCGGTTACACACTAGACAGTGGGCCAAACCACATAAATAAGCCCTCTGGTAGAAAGTCATCTTTTTGTGAATCCTGCTTAGAAGAAATGTTTGTATAAATCTAAGTTTCTAAAAACAATTTTCTTAAATTAAATGGGGCCAAACGTACAAGACATACAAGGGTTTTCAAAGAGTGGCCCACAGGCCGGCAGCATCCAAACCCCTAAGGATGCTTACAGATTCCTGGACTGCCTCAGACTCCGTAAATCAGACACTTTGTAGGTGAGACCCAAGCACATGCATTTTTAACACGACAGAGAATTTTAAATGCGGCTTTGAAATATGAGCACAGGTGTACTCTGGGTCCCCTAAGGGCCAACTGGCTTTCTAGAGAGAAAGGCTCCATCTCGTAACTTTGATTCATGCACTGAACTGGGAATATGAACCCTCTATCTAAGAGATACAGATTTCAAACCAGCCTGTGGTGAGCCACCAGTTTTTCTTCTGAAACTTGCAATCCATCATGGACAAATGTGTAAAACAGAGAGAATGAATTACTAGTAAATGAAAAATTTTAGAAGACGTTACACAATTCAAGCCCAACTTTTGTCTCAGTAGACTCAACACACAGAAAATTACTTTGACAAATTGCACATACGTTTCCCAATGCTTATTCTCAATTTCTGTATTGCTCTTGTCATGAACAGTTCGGAGGGTGCTGGTCCAGACCATAAAAACAAAAGGAAGCTGCCTAAGTCAACCCATTACATTCACTGGAGGGAAACATCAACAAAGCAGTGACATGGTTCGTGTGTAAGTCCTGCGTGGTGCCCAGACGCAGGGGTGAGGCAGGAGTGAGAACACGAGCGCCTCCTCTGCTTTCTCCGAGGCTACCAGCTCCACAACTCAGAGCGAAAGTGGGTGAAATTATAGGTTTAACTGACATTTGTGTCTGACACTTACCTTTGTTTCTTCCCCAACTGTATTTTCTCTTTCATAATAGTGCTGAAGTTGTAGGTTATGTCTTTCTTCTTCTTCTTTCTTCTTTCTTTCTGCTTCTTTACGTCTCTCTTCAGCTAACCGGATAAGCTCTTCATTTTTTAGCCTTTGCTTTAAAATAAAAAGAAAAAAATATATATGCTCCATATATACATTCTATAGGCCATCCAAACATTTGCTGCCTTATTTGAAATAAAAAGACGCAAAACTGAAGACATAGATGATATAGTATTCTATAACAAAGAAGTTGTCTGCTAAACAATAAAATGTCAGACATCTTTTAGAATATTCTTAGTCGGCCTGAGCTATTTTTTGGCTTAAAAAAGTCATCACTTGTCTCTTAAGTTAGTCTTTCACATGTAACATCCAGTGAATGGATATAGATCTGGTATTTTTTAAATGTAATCCAAGACCGGTCTCCTATCGTAAGTAATACACATCTTTTCAAGTCAAAAGAAAAGTTTCCCTTCTGGACTAGGCAGAGAAAGAGAGCAGGAAACGGCACCTCCTCCTCCTTCTCCCTTTTCCGCTCCTGTTCCTCTTCATACTCTTGCTGGATCCGGGCCCTCTGTTCTGCGAGCCGCTTTTCTTCTTTTTCTTCTTCAAGTCTCAGTCTCTCTCGCTCTGCTTCCTCTCTTTTTTTCTTTTCCTCAATCTGAAGAATCAAACCCAGTTATTGCTTTGTAAACTATTGAAAAGTTAGAATACCATTTCATTTTTCTGAGGATTCTATGAATTCAACATTTGTATCCTCTTTTTGCAAGTGAAATTAAGTCCCTAAATATTTCAGTTTCCTGTATTTTATTAGGGAGGCTACATGAGGTGATGTTGAAGCTATGAGTAACATTCCAGGTCCACCAAATACTTACAAACCATGCGTGACCTTAAGAAACTCTCTTGTTCAGTTTTCTCATTTGGTAAAAACAAAAATTATTAAAGTCTACATCTCAAAGGAGTACTCAAAGAATTGAAGAGAAAATGTATGCAAAAAACATGAAAGTGCCTCCTGTATATTAATGGAAGGTACACAGTACATGATTCATGATTATATTCTATTAATACTCCTACTATATGTCTCAAAGTTCCTTGGCTTGATAAGTATCCTGAAACAACAGTGAAATCAATATTTCAGCATTCAATCGTTCTTTATGCAAGAATTCCTCCCCACCCCCGCCGCAGAATGCCCTTTCTTCTTTCCTATCTACTGACAAGTTGTAAGGTGAAAGAGGATTTTAGCCACAGGATTCATAATTAAGTTATATCCTGAATGTCACTTGGATTGTGCAGTACTGAATATTCTGGGGACATTCGAAGGCAGGTCCAAGATCTGAAAGAAGGGAGCCCTAAGAGAGAGCCTACGTCCTCCACGAATTAAGTAGGGCAGCAGGGGTGCTGGTACTCATGATACTGGCGTAAGGCACCAATAGATTTGAGTTACTCTTAAGTATGGATTGAGTGTGGCTACTTATATTATTTTTACTGTTCTCGGCTGCATTGCCTCTAGCTTCAAGAGTGTTATATCTAGTGCTGTTAATCTTTTGAGCTGTAAGAACTTTCATCTTCTTACAGGTCCCATGGTTTCACATGCTAGGGCTTTTTCCACACGTCTTTCTCACATCACTATTAAATATGCACAATCCTAATATTTAGTACTATGCAGTGTGCACAGAATCACTTCTTCAAGTACAACATACGTAGAGAAAACATCACTTATGATCCATATTCATACAACAAAACCTCATTGGACACTCAGTTCCCCTTTCTTCCTACTCCATGAAAAAAAAATCATAATCACAGGGCCACGTCTCCACAGAGGGTCTCAATCATAAATATTTATACACCTAAAGAACCACGGAAATGCCATTCCAACAGAAAAGTAGTTCAACAGAAAGAGGAAAGCTATATTCTAGGTGAGTGGTTTTTAAACTGTATGATCCAAAAGTGCATCAAGGGTCATGCAAGTATTTTACTAAATGTATTTTTAAAGCTGTAATTTAAAATGTTATCTAAACACTCGCATGTTGTTTACCAGATTTTAACCACACGAAGACTTCTGCTTCATTCACTTAAACTAACGGTATAATTATTTGTGCAAACATACAGCCAAGGCCACTCTGGCCATCCTTGTGCACAGATGTGAACATTTTACAACATTTCTTTCAACAGTTAAGTTTGGGGATCTTTCTTGTCTGGCATTATACTGTTGATAGTAATAATAAATGCCATTTAGCTACTTTACATTTTCTTAGAATTCTGTTAGATTTTGTTTTGGGCACAAAAGGCGAGGGGCTAGAACGTAGCTACCAGAAACCCTGTCTGTGAGCACCATTTGAGAGCGATCCACCCACAGGCACATGGAGGCCTGGGGGGAAGACCCGACAGCTGAACTCACTCTGAAACTACCCTCGTCAACGCTTCCCCATTACTAGTGTTTTGTCCGGAGGGAAAGACCACTCCTAGAGTGCCTAGAAATACTAAGTTCGGAAGCTTACAATGTGATACGGGGACTTGAGTTCAAGCACTGGTCTCACCATTTGCTAGTTCTGCCATGACGCTCGAGCCTCTTGGCCCATTTTAGTTGCGTGTCATAAAATAATACCTTCCTCAGAGTTTTGAGGTTTAATGAAACACTATATGTAAAAGAATCTTACAAAAAAATAACGGGCTATACAATCGCAAGATTTTATCTATTTATTTATTTCCGGAGTTCTACCCTAGACGATGCCAACACTCGCTAAGTACAACAGGAGTTACTGACATTTGGACTTGCTGTCATTATGGGCAACATCCCACAGGGCCTTTCAAGTTCAAAGGGTGACTCTATGCCCCTCAATCTGTGGCTACCTGACTTCTGTGGCCAATACCCTTGGGGGCCTCTGATGCCACTCTCTTACATTCAGCATGTCTATTCATTTTGTCAACCCTTAGAAAGGGCTTTCCATCCATTTCCACTGTCACCACTCTAGTAAAACACCCTGCTTCCAATGTTAATCCTCCAATAATACACGCTAAACATTAATGCCAGATCAATCATCCCTAACACTGCATCTATTATGCCCTTGCTTTACATAAGAGTCCATTATAATTAGGATCAGAAAGAAGATATGTTTGAGTAGAATCTCTTTAAGAGGAATTTAAGAGGTTGGGATTCGATTACACAGCCTTAAATGTCAGACTAAGGAATTTGGACAATTCTTGTAGAAAAGAAAACCTACACCCAGGTTCTGAGTAAAAAGGAATAACATGTGAAGTCATATCAAAAGAAAATTAACCAGAGGATTAATCTGACGCTGGGAAGCCAATACCGGCAGCGAGGGGAGGGGAGGAGAGAAGACACGGAGTCCCTCAAGGGCAGGTCCCACGTCCATCTCAGGCTCCCTCCCTAGCAGTCAGCACAGGGTGGGAGCTCAGTAAGTCCCTGCTTAATAAACACTGGATGCCCAAGTGTCTTCCCTTGGGCATTTCTACTATTTTAAATGCTTTTTGTTTACATACATAGATGTGGCAAACAATTGCAAAATGTGATTACATCTAATTTTTATTTATTTACAATCTATACCATTGAGTCAAGAATATCAAAATTTGGGGGGAAAAAACTTGGTTTTCTACTAACACATAAGCATCCAGAAAGACTAATTCTATGCCTAATAGGTGAATATTTTATTGTCTTTCAGTTTTAGAAATTTCATTACTCTTTAACGGTTAATGATTTAATAAAGCTTAGAAAAAATTAAGTTAATTGGTATACCTGGCATGTCTCCTGATTGCTTTTTCATATATGTGATATAAATTTTAGTGCCTATATCGGATATATATCTGACATTATAGGTAAATGCATGGCATTATTCTTTATCCTATGGATAAAATCTTTGCAAGTTTAGTTTGTTAAAACTCTTAATGAAACTTTGAAACGATGATTAAATAAGCATTTCACCTGAAAACGAAGAAAATTCTTGTATACTTCTTGCTGTTTAATCTGAAGTTCAGTTGGAGGCTCACCAAATATATTTCCCCGAGCAAAAGGAGAGCTCTGTGTTTGCATATGACCTTCAAAGAGAAATATTGCAAAAACATTCCATTAGCCAATGCTTAAAAAATGTAAATCTTAAAGAATGAAGAATTTGCTACTAAATTCATATTTTGAAAAATTGTTCTAAATATAGAAGTCCAGAGATTACAATCAGAAAAGGAAGGCAGCGATTAGAATTTGAAGACCAGATAAAAAGTAATGAAAGAAAAATGGTGAAATTAAAATAAAATTAATAGTTGAAAAGTCGTAATATATATCTATACCTGAAAGACATCAAGAAAACATAAAAGCTAACACCTAAACAACTCTGATCACAGCAAAGGCTTTAAAGTAAAATTTATGGAGAAGAAAAAAGTATGTTTTAAGTTCTTATGTATGTAAATATACTTTCTGTAAGAATACTGCTTAATCACATATTAAAATGTACTATGTATACATATATAAAAAAATTTCTAAAATTGTTTTTAAAAAATCAGTAATTCCAAAAAATCTTCCCATCTGTGGTTAAAACAACAGATTACAAAATCAGATATAAGAACATTTTTTATAAATTAGAACTCTTAATAAAAAATTTTTTATTTGAAAATTCTACTGAATTACTGGGATAGAAACATGAATAATGAAAGTGTTATCTATTACCTATTAGTATTATACATTCTGGGAAAGAAAAAAAAATTTCATAAAAGCAACTTGAAAAATAATTATACCCCAGGAGTCTCTTTGAATGCAGAAAGAAAAAAAATTGTATTTAAATTTAAGCCTCACGAAACGTTTTATATAATTTTTTATTTACCAACTCATTCTTTATACCATCAATCTAAAGCACTTAATTCTTTCACTCATGTAGTTTGTGTAGACAGACTGCTTTGCAGTTTGGCTGCTGTTTAGGTATTTGCCACTGTATTTAAATTTATTAATGCTTATTTGAATAGATCAGCGGAAAGCCAAATCAATACATACACATTACAATCTTATGCTATGGTGGGAAAACTGATTAGCAAAACAAAACTGAGTGGTATGTTTCACTTTAATGATCACTCAAATTCTAAGCCTTTGGAGCAATTAGAGAAGAAATATTAGAGACAGACAAGTTTTTCTACAAGTATATAAATTATAAGATAAAACCACAAGGAAATGCTTGCTTTGTACAAAAAAAATGGAAATGTATCTAGATATCACTATAAGCCAAAAAATAAATTTAAGCCTAATTAGTATAGACTTCATAAATATGGTTCGTCAGCCAAGAACCACTAAGTAAAAGAAAAAAATGAACATTAGGAAAGGCCTCAAAAACAGACCTAATGAACACAAAACATTAGAGGATAATTCTAACATTAAATGTGCAGGTATATTCAAGTTCCCTAAGGCCTTTAAAATATTAAGCGCTACATACTCATGTGTGCATGTACATATGTATGTGTATGCACATATACATATATGTACGTGTACATACACTCATACACATGTATGATGGCACAGCAACTAATTAGGTGACTTTGGATAGGTTCTTGCATTCAGAAAGTCTATTTTATGTTAATTCTTAGGGAATGAAAGTTAGTTTAGGGAATTTCAATTCACACAAAAAAAGAAAACGTTGGGGGCTACAGACAACAAATCCTGCTGCAATTATTCAATCATCAAGTTTGTGCTCTTTCTTGGCACGGGGTTACGGAAACTTTACGTTTCCTGGGTTTTGCTTAATAAGCAGGGCTAAATGCCTAAAAGTGTTATGACTAAGACACAGAAAGTGCTAGGCTGAGGCAGAACTATAAACAATGCTGTGTGTGGAAGAAAAGGGTAGAGAAGGAGTCTGTAGCACTGAGCTCTCAATACAGATCACTAGAAGAAAAAGCAAATGAAGAGAAAAATAATGAGAATCAGAAAGAAGCCAAACTTCTCTCTTAGCAGCAATAATATGATGAAAAAAGGTGCTTTGGTGCTCCTATTGAACACTGAATTATTACAGACCGAGAGTGGGAGCCAAATCAGTAACTTCATCAAAATCAAAAGTTCCAATTTTACGCTCCAAAAATCCAAACTGGATCTACTGGGTAAAAAAAGTCTACTGTGGATCAGAGAAAGCAAGCATTTTCTGGTAAGTAGTGCAAACAGTGGGACAGGCCGCCCATGGAAACAAACAACCCATCTCCTGAAGGGTTCAAAACTGGAGCAGGAGCAGTCGCACATCAAAGGCTTGCAAGATGCAAGGCCAGGATTCTAATCACAGTTTCCCATTTAATCTGCCCATTTGACCAATAAGTCACATGGGTAAAAAAATAAAATAAAACAATTTTAAGTCAGGGCTATTCTAGGATTTCCTAATGTAAAGTCCTTTTCTAGTCTAAAATTGAAACTTCTGTGAAAGTACAAAAGCAGAATTTGTAGTAAATAAACTGTTAATTTTATAGGTATCAACTTGCTTTGATTTTAAATATGTAACATTTTCATATATATTTGATAAAAAAAGATGATGACAATTTTTCCTGGCAAGTCATAAAGAAAGATATTAAGTAATTTTCAATTTACAGAACATTTAATTGAAGGATGTTGCTTAATAGCAAATCAAAGATATTTGCTTAAGAAAGGGAGGAGGGCTGGCTGAGTGGCTCAGTTGGTTAAGAGCTCACTCAAGAGTGAGAGCTCTGAGAAACAGGGTCACCGGTTCAATTCCCAGCCCAAGCTGAGCTGCCGCTGAGCTGCCAAGATGGTTCAGCTAAAAAAAAAAAAAGAAGGGGGACCTGACCAGATATCAAATTAAATTTTTAATTATTTCATTTCTTCGTACATTGTGGTTTACAAGGGAAGGCAAAGGATTACAAAACAAGCAAAAAATGAATTTCATTGTACAGTTTATCATACCACATGGGAACCCCCTCACTAATTCAAACAGTTATGGGTATAAGAAGCAAATTGTGTGTGTAAAAAAAACAATTTGATTTTTAAGCAGTGTCCTCTCACTAGCAAAATTAAAATGTTATCAGCAGCTAAAACATATATAAGCAAGTTACAAAGCTGAGAAAAAGTTGTTAAAAAGCCAACTATATTTCCCTATTCACTTTTTTTTAAATACCTCTAAAGAAAAGATACTGTAAATAGCAAGAATAACATGTTATGCTTCCTGACTCAGAGTAACCAAATTCTCAAAATTAAAATAAGACTGTCAGAGAAATGAAGAGAAATGTTACTGAACAACTTTAGAAAGGTAAAAGAAAAAATAGAACGTGATTAAAAACCTGAGTTTTTATTTGCAGAATCTTCTAGGTTCTCAGCATTTGAAGTGGCTAAATTTTGGTCTAGAGATACAACAGCCCTTTTATCTTCATATGTTCTTGCATCTGGGTTATGGTAGGCATCTATATTTTGTCTGTGCATCCTATTCAAATCAGCTGAGAGGGAAAAATAAGCCATTTATTTCAATAAATACATGTCTATAATCAGTATGCTTAATACATTTTCTTAAAGTAGGGAATCTGAGAGAAAAACAATAGGACAGAGCTAGAATAATACAATGATATATTGGTGCCTTGAAAAGAGAAACAAAATTATCAAAACTTTAAAAATTTTTTAAATAACCTTACAAAATAAACTCAAAATCAGTAGAAAACGTAAGACTATATAGATCTTTGACAACCCATAAAAAAACCATATTTATATCTTACGTGACTGCAGAACAAGGAATCTCTTTAATACAAAAAAATATAGCAACAATTCAAAACAAGTCGTAGTGCAATTTATCTAACATCATTAGCGTTCCTAATGAAAATAATATAATCATGTGGAGTTTTAAAACATAGCCACAAATTCTTTGACAATCTTCCCTTAAAAGATGGAGCTCAATGCCCCTCCCCTTGAGTGTGGCCCAGAGTTCATAACTCACTCTTATGAATATAAGATTGCAGAATGATGGTATATGACTCCTCCAAGGCTATTTCATAAATGACATTATGGTCTCCATCTTGCTTGATCTACTGCATCACTCACTCTGAACAAAGCCAACTATCATATTACAAGGACACTGAAGGAGCCCACATGACCAGAAACTGAGGCCTCCTTCCTGAGCCATGTGACAGCCATATGGGAAATGGACTCTCCAGTCCAGTCAAGCCTTCAGATGGCAACAGCCCACATTCTGACATCTTGGACTACAACGTCAGGAGAGGCCCTACGACAGAACCATCCAGCCAACTACTCACAAATTACTGACCCGCAGGACTGCAAGATAATAAATATTTGTTATTTTAAAACACGTCAGGGTCCTTTGTTACACAATGATAGCACATACACATGGCAAAAATCTGAGCATGAAGGACTGGGTCACATAACCGGTCAGTCTTAAAAACAGACCAGAATGACTGAAGAACTGAAAAGCTTTCACAAATAAAAAGTAGTTCTCCACAAACCACTTGGATAGTATGGCAACAGTAAAGCAAATAAATCTGGATATAAGAAGTAATTATCAGGCAGCCTGTTGTGTTCAAGGATGTATTTTGAACACAAATCACAATGAGAACACCAGACAACATGGCAAGTAACATGTGAATGTTACCAAAGGGCATGAGCGTTCAGAATCAGGAAAGTTCACATCCTGTTGCAAAATTTGGGACAAGGTGGATTAGATACCGGGTAGGAGCTTCACAGGTGAAGGAGGGTGGGAAAGCATAAAAAAGAAACAGAGCGATGTGCAAAACAGCTGCAAGGGGGTACAACATGGAGAGTGTTCTGGCAACATTAATGTAGTCCCGCTTGACAAGAGCACAAAACACACGCAATAGAGCACTGAGAAATAAGATAGGAAAGTGCAGATTAGGTGCCTATTCTGGAATATTCTACAGCACAAGCTGCTGATTCTCAATTCTGCTCTGCGGTATTTTCTATCACCAGAGTGCAGTGCACCAAGCTCACTGCTCCAGATGATACCCAGGCGGCAGCTCTGTTCCCAAGCTAGCGAGGCTCAGGGAACGCAAGCTTGTTTTGCTGTTCACCTACACAAACCATAAATTAAGATACAAATACCCTA